GGCAGAAAGCAAAGTTTGGAAAAGTTTCACAAGTACCGCCCCTGCCCTGGACTCCACAGGATAGAAAATCACCAATCTGAAAAAAAAAAAAAAATGGTATTCACGCAACTAAAGAAATGTCTATGGAGTGTCCACTCAGTTCCGGGCACAGGGCATAAAGTACTGAAAAAAGTTAACGCTAAATATTCACTTTGAGTTTTAGGACTTAGAAGAAGCTCTCCTTATATACCCAAAGGGCCAGATTTGGTTAACCACAGACCCCTTGGTTTGATGGTTCCTTAATCTCTCTGAGATTTGACTCTAGCTCACCCCCAGCAACCTTCATTTCCCTCCAACCTTCATTTTCCTCCTCAACATTATCAACTGTCTATATAGAATTTACTTATTCATTGTTTGTCTTCCTTAATAAAATAAGCACCTCCAAGGGCAAGAAATGTCTGTTTTTTTTTTTTTTGTTTTTTTTACTGCTGTGTGCCCGGTCCTAAAACACAGTAAATGCTCAATAATATTTTTTTAAGATTTATTTATTTATGCATACAAGAACTGGGGCATAGCCAGAAGTGCGGGGGGTGAGAGGATTCCCCAAAGACAGAGCAGGGAGCATAACAGGCAGATATACTGAAATACACTGCTGAGGGGAGCAGTGTGCAAGTCAGGAGAGGTCTGCTGTGCCATGTGGGTAGGTCCCTGGCCAGGGATTGAACTCGTGCTGCAGAGGCTGCCGACAGCCCCATAGGTTGTGTCCTAACCCCTTGCACCACCACAGAGGCCCAATGCTCAATAATATTTGTCGATTATATGAATGTCAACACTTCTATACCTGCCAATTCTACTGGACATATCCCTACTCCATCATGGCCTTCCTCCAACCCCCTTCCATCATTCTCTCATGCACAGTGTGTTGGCCTCCATCCTCTTGGGATTTATCCTGATAGCTACATCTAGCAGAGTACAGCCAACCTGGGTTCCATGATTAGCTATTCTTTACCCCCACCCTGTTCTCTTCCACTTCATCTGCTGAACCAAGATTTGACTTATATTACCCCTACCATCCAACTTCTCTTTCTCTTTGTCTAGTCCACAGCATTGTTAGAGAAGATCTTAGATTCACGATGGAATGGACAAATTACAATTTATGGTAGTACTCGAAGAGAGCATGATTAAAAATTTAGAGCTGGTTTGAACATTGGGTAGGTTAGGCATGACTGGGTGTCTCTGGCTGAATCAGCAATCTTTGTGAACCTGTCTTGTCATCTGGGAATAATAGTACCTCCTTCATTATCAGCGAGATTATATTTTAAATAAAATGATGTATGTTAATGCCCCTACAGACATATAGTCATGTAGAGATATTTAATAAATTATAGCTCTTCCTCTTTCTTTAATTTAACATATTTCACTAACTCTAATGATGCCCTCACTATTTTAAAATGACTAACACATACTTAGGAAAAAAAATGCATGCTCTCTGGTATGAATCTTCTTCAATTTCTTCTCTTCCCTCTTTTCTATATCAGTGTATGTCTTCATGTATCCTCTCTCCTGATTCGGAAGTTGTATACCCACAATGTGATACACCTTGAAATTCACTAAGATGGCTCTAATAAGAAAGATAATAGCAAGTGCTGGTGAGGATCTGGAGAAATTGAAATGCTCACTGGGAATATGAAATAGTGCAGTTGCTTTATAAAAGTTGGACTTTTCCTGAAAATGGTAAACATAGAGTCATCATAAGACCCAGAAATTTCACTTCTAGGTATAGAAGAGAAATTTTAAAAAAATGTTCACATACAAACTTGTACAAAAATACACATAGTAGCATTATTTGTACAGTCAAAAAGTGGAAACAACCCAAATGTCTATTAACTGTTGCATGAATAAGTAAAATATGGTATATTTGTACAATGGAATATTATTTGGCAATCAAAAATAATGAAGCACTGATATCTGCTACAATATAGATGAACTTTGAAAAACCTTATACAACTTGAAAGAAACTAGTCACAAAAGACCATATAGTGTATGATTTCATTTGTATAAGATGATGAGAACAGGCAAATCAGTATAGAGAAAGTATACTAGGGCCTCTCCTGGTGGCGCAGGTGGTTCAGCACTGCACTGTGAAGCTGTCCGCAGCCTCTGCAGTGCCAGTTCGATCCTGGCCGGCGGGCGAGGGTCCCACATGGCACAGCAGACCTCTCCTGTCCCGCCCGCTGCTCCCCTCAGCAGTGTATTTCGTCAGTCTGCCTGTTCTGTTCCCCACTCTGTATCTGGTGAATCCTCTCACCCTCCCGTGAATCTGGCCTGTACCCTGGTTCTTATATGTATGGATAAATAAATAAATCTTTAAAAAAAAAAGTATATTAAAGTGCTTGCCTAGACTGGGGGTGGAGGCAAAATGTTAATGGGCATGGGGTATCCACTTATGATGATGAAAATATTCTAAATTGATTATAGTGATGGTGAAACAACTCTATGAACACAATAAAAAGTGCTGAAAAGGGGGTTGGGGAGCTAGTTCCCTGGGTTATTAATCAAGAAGTCTATTTACAGACACCAGTTTCTTTCTGAACCACAACACTCACTATGTGTATATGGTAACATTTTTTACTTCCTCAGGGGGAAAGATCATATCTTCTAAATCCCTGCCTCTCTCACCACCCACACAGAGCAGAAGCGTGTTACCTTTTAAATGACTTTTTAAAAAAGGAAACAGTATTTTTGGAGAATGTTTTTTATTTCAATCAAAATTAAGAATCAGATTGCCACCTGGCAGAACTGGTCATCTGGGATATCTTGATTCATTTGAACACCCCAAACAATAAATTCAACTGTAGCACATAGAGAGAGGGTAGGTAGACAGTACAAACCAAACTGACCGGTTCTGCCATCCAAAGAAAGGTTGTTCCTTCATTTACCAGTGGATGTGGCCTCTGGCCCTTAGGAACCATTCTTTTGACAGTTCCCCAGGACATGGCTATGTTTGACTGACTTTATTTACTAAATAAATTCCTATTTCTGGAGTAGCTTCAAGTTTTAAACAGAAAGCCATCTATTGGTAGTCACTGATACACAGGATTTTATTGTCTGATATTAAACAATTAAGAGTTACTGTTTTTTTTCCCCCTGACAAGTACACTATACATGAAAATAAATATTGTCTACAATATAGCCATAGGAGTGGAGAGAGAGAGATTCTATATATACACTCTGAACCTTGAAGGGATAGTTTTATTTTAACACATCCAAAATGTGGACTCTTTTTTTTAATGGAAATTAAAGTTCTCTCGGCAAAATTAACAGACAGAATGTGATGAATATTTCTCAAAATGACTTTGATTACGTAAACACATTAAAAATACCTTAAGAATTCAGTCTTCTGATCTAGCAGTGAGCTAGTAGACTTCAATAATTTAAAATAACTTTGAAATTGTTACTTTCAACAAAGTCTGAAGATACACCAAAAAAAACACTGAAATAAGTCAAAATGTTTAACAGATAGAAATATATCATTTGTTCAGACTCAGCAAATTTAAAAATAGCAAAATATGAAATCATAGTTGTATGACTATAGGATAAAGCTCTGGTTTAAAAGCAGGCAGAAGTTTTTCCTTTCTGTAACTCCAGTGAATTCAAATGCACGCAGAAAAACAAAATGAGTGAGGATCATGCCAAGATGACAAACAAAAGAAATTTCTAGATTCTCAAGTATGACCATTTTGAAATGAGATGAATGTACAGTTCACATTCCTAGTTTACAGTAATAAAAATAATTCAAGTTATATTAGCTCAGTAAATGAAAAGTCTTGTTTCGAGCGAAAAGATTGTACCATATCAAAACCGAATATTGATCAAAGGAGGCAAACATGACAAGGCTGGATAAGAAACAACAAACACTTTGCTTCCTCCCTGACTGAAAAAAACAACCAGGTACCCGCAGCAGACAAGAAGAGAAACTGCCCCAAGGAGCCAGTGGAAATGCTGTTATGATTGTTTAGATTGAGGAGCTGCCCAGGGGCAGGACATGTCACAATGTCACATCCCTCGTCTTTACTATCACAACTTTCACCAGAAGAAAACAGAGCCTTGAAAAACAAATTCAATCACAAATACTAACTTTTTGTTAAAACTCCAAGCAAACTATCGAACCAAGTTAAAACCTGGAATATACCAGCATTCTGTAATGGTTCCAAACCCAAACACAGTGGGATCAACTATTTTCAGCTGGAAGTTCATTTAGAAAAAATACTCACGCGCATTTCTAAGCTATAGAATTTTTTGGACTATTTTTTAAAAACCACTTACAGTTTTCACTAAAACATATTTTAAAAATCAGAATTTAAGGCTAATACCCCTTTGCCTGTGATGCGGCTTTTAGTTTTTTGAAAACATAAACAAAACGTACAAAGTGACGTAAAGCGCTACAAATACGTATAAAAATACCACCAGTGCTCCCACAATAAAAGCTTTTGAGAAAAATGGTTGGACAAGTATTCATCTTCCTCAAATCGCTGTCCCAAGCTATTGACTGTTACACAACCAGGAGACAAAGGCAAGGTGAAGGGTGAGAAACGACAGAAAGGTCGACAGAAGGAAGACAGGCGCTCAGCAGGACAGAGCCTGCTCACTCCCAGCACCTTCCCGGGGTGCTCGCGGTTCCCCTAACACAACCCACATCGTCTCTCTGAGAAATCAATCTCCCTTTAAGGAAAGCCAAGCCAGCATCCAGAGGTAACGTGCAGAACCTTAAATGAAAAATGTCCACGTCTAGCAGGCAGACAAGCAAAGGAAAACCAGCTGTCAGTTTCAAAGACTCCCTAGCTGGAACTGGGTTTCGGGTTTCTCTTTGCTTCTGCCTCTGTCTGTCTGTCTGTCTCGCTCTCGCCGGGTATCCTTCAATAATATCAGCTTTCCGATCACCTCAAATCACAAATACAATCTCCATCAGTCCTTATGAAATTACTGCTGATGAAACAGAAAAACAAGAGTGGCATACTCACAACAGTGAAGAATTCCTACACATGCTGTTCCATTTTCTTGCTTTAAAAAGATGGAAGGTTAATTTAGAGAGCCTTGCGGAATTAAGAAAATAAAGGGGAGGGGGATTCCACCCACACAATCCTCCAGCCCACCGCAAAGGAGCCCAAAGCCTTGCTGACGTCACAGATTCATGAATGGATGTAAATTGGGCTGGTTTAGGATTCCGCACAGACTTCGCTGTGGTGTGTGCCATGAAAAAGAAAGGGAGGGTCCAGAGTAGGCCCAGCCAATAGGCTTCAGGCAATCATGGCCTGCCTTCTTTTAGATGGGATCTGGTCACAGAATAAACAGAGCCTGCCAATCAGGCGTCTGCCACTGCCTTAAGACAGACTGGCAGCTTGAGGAGGAGGAGAAGAGAGTGATTCGTGTGTGTGTGTGTGTGTGTTTGTGTGTGTGTGTGTTTCAAGATGTGAGAGTCGTAAAAACATTATTATTGCAATTGAATGGGGGAAAAGCAAAGTCGAATATATAATTTTGGTGGAATCTACACTACCAAAAATGCTTATGGAAGAAAGTCTTTTACTCATCAGATCTATTTTTTTTAACCCTTTCTTGCTATTTAGCTATGTGCTTGATGTGATGTGATAAAAACAAATCAAAGTCAGGGAAATAGTTTCTAAAACTAGTGGCTGTTAGACATGTGCCCTGCACACCAAGACTTAAAAAGCAAAATAGAAGGGAATAATAATAATAATGGGAATAAGAACCTATGACTAAGGAAACATACATATTTAAGACAATATTACATAAATGGCATTGTTTTGTGGAACAATATCATCTTGCTGACCTTTGTGATGCATCAAAAGTAGGTGTGAAAGAATGATTTACTGCAACATTTAGATAAGGTAAAACACTTTCTTATTGATTTATTAAACTTCTGACATTTAATTAAAACATGGTTCCAACAGTACTCTTAATGATTTTTAGAGTAAATTTTTATTTTAGTAGGATGTTTTATTAGTAGGAGCAAAAAGCTGTATTAAATTAACCCAAAGAACTCATGACATTAAAAAAAATTTCTAATTAAAAAAATTTTAACAGCTTTCTTGGGATGGCCATACAAAGAACTGCACATATTTAATGTGTATTATTTGATGGGCGTGGAGCTACACAAACATCTGTGATACCATCACCACAGTTAAGGTAGTAGAAATACCCAGTGTTTCCCAGAGTTTCCTTCTGTTCCTTTGGGTTTTTTGGTTATTGCTATTTTTAACTTAATTTATGAGATAAACCCTCTTAGCAAATTTTGAAGTGCACAATATCGGATTGTTAACAATAGGCACTATGTCATACAGCAGATCTCTAGAATTTATTCATCTAGCATGACTGAAAATTTATACCCACTGAATAACAACTCCCCATTTTACTCTTCCCCAGCCCTGACAACCACTATTGTATTCTCTGCTTCTATGAGTTTAACTATTTTAAATATCTCCTGTAAGTAGATTCATATAATATTTATCTTTTTTGCGACTAGCTTATTTTACTTACATTTAATGTATTCCAGGTTCACCCATATTGTCATAAAAGGCAGAATTTCGTTTTAAAGGCAGAATACTATTCCACTGTGTATATATATACTACATCGTCTTTATCCATTCATCTGTTAATGGACATTTGCGTTGTTTTCATATCTTGGGTATTGTAAATAGTGCTGCATGGGCATATATCTGAATGAGACCCTGATTTCAATTCTTTTGTATATATAATACCCAGATGTGAGATTGTTGGATCACATGGTAATTCTATGTTTTATGTTATGAGAAAGTTCCATACTGTTTTCCATAGCTGCTGCAACTTTTACATCCCTACTAATAGTGTGCAAGGATTCTACATCCTCCACAACTTTTTTTTTTCTATTTAAAAAATTAGCCATCCTGGGCCTCCCCGGTGGCGCAGCGGTTGAGCGCTGGGTTGCGAAGCTGCCTGCAGCCTCTGCAGCGCCGGTTCGATCCCCGCCTGCTCCCCGGCCACCAGAGGAGGGTCCCACATGGCGCGCAGACCTCTCCTGCCGCCCACTGCTCCCCTCGGCAGTGTACTTCGGCCCTTCTGCCTACTCTGCTCCCCGCTCTGGTGAATTCTCTCACCCTCCCGTGCTTCTGACTGTGCCCAGTGCATGTATAAACAAAACAAACAAACAAATAAATAAATGAAAAACATGCCTCTAAAAAAAAAAAAAAAAAAAAAAAAAAAAAAAATAAAAAATTAGCCATCCTAAGAGGGTTGAGGTGCTATCTCATTGTGATTTTCATTTGCATTTCACTGATAATGATGTTGGGCATCTTTTCATATAGCTGTTGGCCATTTGTATGGCTTCTGTGGAGGAATGTCTGCACAAGTCTATTCAAGTCCTCTTGCCATTTGTCTTGGCACTGATTTCTTGGATATGACACTGAAAACACAGGTAACAAAAGCAAATATAGACAAGGAGGACTACATTAAACTAAAAAAGCTTCAACAGAATAAAGAAGCAATTCACAGAATGGGAAGAAACATTTGTAAACCATATATCTGGTAAAAGGTTAATTTTCAAAATATATAAGGACTCATACAACTCAATAGCAAAAAAAAAAAAAAAAAAGACAACAACAAATGACTCACAACATTTCCTTACTCTTTATTTAATTTTTTTCAAAGCTACACAAAGTGGACAGTAATATGATTTACTTCCTCTGAATGTCATTACTTAATTTCACAATTACCAATACTTTACTAATACTAATCACAACTTTTTTTTGACTTGGAAAATGGCCTCAAATCCTTGAAACTGGTACAATAGTGGTGAATATAAGGCCTCTTTATGAGGTGTCCTGTGACCAAGAACATTCTGAACAGAGATCTGCTCTCTCTCTCTCAAACAGATTATTTGTACAGCTGAGAGAAGAAAAGTGGTTGCCTGTTTCTGTATGGTTATGGAGGGTTCAAACCTAAAACTAGTAAGTATTGCATACTGATTAGCTCCGTTGGAAAAAAGAAAACTTTCCAGGAGTATTTTACACACAGCAAGGATGTCAGAGTACAGTTCTATATACTCAAACAATAGAATGTCATTGCAAACAACATATTCAATGAATTTCTCTAAAGGAACTTGCTATGGAATATCACTTTGAAAAAGACAGACCAAAGACGTTTACCCATGTAAGGTGGGAGTGCTCCAGACCAATGTAGTAGTGGTACATTTCCAGGTGGCCTCATGTACATATCAATATGTACACCTACCAAGATTTATTTTAGAGTCCACATATGTGAAGAAGATAAAGAAAATACATCTGTTTCTTTTAACAGTCTCAAGGTCAACCAAGATATAAATGAGTCAGATATAAAAACATTCTTTTCTTCCACAACAATATGGACTAATAGAAGGAGACAATCTCTTTGTGGAATAATGTCAATAAAATGGCTAAGTCTGTTCAGAACTAAACATGTTTGCTATAAGGTTTGACAGCAACATCATTACTTACAATAAGTTACCAAGGATCAGGGTAGTTTCTGAAACAACTCAAGAAAATGGTGTCTGTAAATAGCTCTAAGAATGCTCATCTTACATGTTGGTTCAAGATATAAACTGACAAATAAAAACTAATTTGTTCTTGGACGTAGCATGTTAATAAAATGAACTCAGTTTGGGTTGACATGATTTGTTGTACTACAGAAATATCAGCTAGGTCAACAAAGCATTCTACATGTCAAATAACAAGAGATCGTTGGGAAGATAAGTTGTCTCCCCAAATTGCAGAAATTGTAGTGCTCACTCTTGGAGGTAGCCATTGTTGTTTGGGGGACAACGGGTAGAAAGAGAGGGGGCTATGAAGAGTGTACATTCTAGAGGAGCAGTGCAAGAGAACTTTTTGAGATGATGGAAATGTTCCATAATTTGCACTAATACAGTAGCCACATATGACTACTAATATTTAAAATGTGGCTGGGATGATTGAGGAACCGAATTTTAAATTTAAATTTAAATTAATTTAAATTTTAAAAGTCACTCGTGGCAGGTAGCAAACCTATGGGACACTGCAACTCTAGAGATAAAGCCAAATCCCTCATCACAAGTAATTTTTCATTTCAGCAGGTGGGCATGCTAAGTGTGGAAGACTACAAAGCCATTATCTAGGTGAGTAAGCTCTTTTAAGAACCAAATGAGCCTCTTCAAATTTCAACAATGATTGGAAGATGACTCCAGTCTCATTTCCCAAGAAGAGCTTCAAAACTCATTATTAGAAAAATTCTAAGAATAGAAGTAAGCTACAATTATTCTGATATAAAAATATGAGCTATTCTAGGGTTGGGCTTTTTTAAAGAAAAAGTGTTTTATTAAAGAAAAATGACTCATTTAAGACAGAATCGAAGAGAAGTCAAAGAATCAAGACCCAGTGGCAAGTTTTTGTCAGGAATACACAGAAAAAGAGAATATAATGAACTTGAAGGTTAACAGATGAAGAGGCATCAAATGAAGTACTCTGTTGGGCCATGCAATTACATGTCAGTTAATTCCTTCCCCCCCTGTGCTTTTCCTTGGCTTAAATCAGTTTGATATAGTTCCTGCCAAGAGATTATTAACACAGTGTTATTGCTTCTCTTCTGTCATACTCAAACCCCAATTAATATCAGATTCCCTGTATTATAAGAGTTTCTTTTCTGACACTCATAATTTCAGTACTTTGGTAGATTATCTTTCAAATTCTAACTCTCACATAGTGTTTGTACTTCATTGTCATCTTTGTCATTCTCAAATGTTTAACATTCCAAGGGCTCAAAATTTCCTCTCAATTACTATTTCTACATTTGATATTTTAAAGTCAGTGACTTTTGCCATTTGTATTATATGTGAAGCATTATGTTAAAAACCCTCTATAACTCTCACTTAATTCATATAATGGTTTGAAGCCAATATTTTACTTCCCATTTTAAGATGAAGAATCTGAGCCACAGCAAGACTAAATAATCTGAAGTTACAGACAGTTGGAAAAAAAAAAATTGCAAGGGCCTCCCCAGTGGCGCAGCGGGTTGAGCGCCATGCTGTGAGGCTGTCCGCAGCCTCTGCAGCGCGGGTTGGCTTCCCAGCCGGCCGGAGAGAAACCCACATGGCACGGCAAACCTCTCCTGCTTCGCCTGCTGTTCTCCTCATCAGTGTACTTTGGTCCGTCTGCCTGTTCTGCTCCCTGCTCTGTCTGTGGTGAATTCTCTCAC